TAATTGCTAAAGTTGCTAATGTGGTTGTAGGGTCCACTTATGAAATTGCTATCCTATTGCAGGGATGGAGATGGTCATAACCCTTTCAGAAGTCTGCAGTCAGAGACTGCTTATCTCTTTCTCTCTCTGTTTTTCGCTCTTCTCTCAATCTCCTTGTCCCCTGTTCTCTGCGAGGCTGAAAAAAATACCCTGCCGCCTCTATTCCCCTGCCACCGCCGGTTGACCTTCCTTCTTCAGCAGCATGGCCGACGTCCCACTGCTTCACTGGTCGCCATGTCCGGTTTGCCTTTCTGGGTTTCGCTACATGTATTCAGCCTCTTGATTTAAATTTGCGGTATGATTCTTGCACTCCTTTTTAATGAAAAAGATGCGAACTTTCATTCCGGAAACTCTGTTTTTATAGATCTTTTCATGTTGATCTAAATGTTTGTTATAGATCTGTTGTATAGAAGTCTAGATCTAGGCTTATAAATATGAAAAGTAACTTAGATTCATCTGTTATATTCTGCTCTCTGATACTTCTTTTCTTCGATATGTGGTAGTTCAGCGTGGCTCTCTCCTTCCGGTGTGGCTTCCCGCTTATTGGTGCTGGAAAGATTGACTTTCGGATGAACAGTTTCTCTCATATACAACCGTCCGATCCAGAAAAGCGTATGTGTCTCTCCCTTTGCTTTATTTCCGATGATAAAATATCTGAACTTTTAATGGTTTAGACTTTCATTAGGGATGATTTCTTGTTTGTGTGCAGATGTGTGAATACCTTAGGTCGGTTGGTGTAGATCTGTTGTATTTAGATGTTTTTTACTGGTAGATCTAGTGTTTAACTTCGTAGATAGATGATTTAGACTAGTCTTCCACGTTTTTCCAGGTCCGATTACGCTCACTTCGTCATCTTGTGGCGATGCCAGAGAAATGTACTGTGTCTTGCGCCTATGTTTGGGTTTTTTGTGTGCAAGGCGGTCTAGATGATGTGGGGTTTCGCAATCTCAGCCCGGCTGAATGGCCTGGACAATATTGTGCATGACTTTGCTGTTCTATGGCTTGAGATCGCACTGGTAGCCCTTGCATCGTCCTAGTCATATCTGCATCTATAATAGATAGATGTGGTCTACCCTATTCTCTCAGTTTCCAAATGAATATAGGGGTCATTTGCTTGAGGCTTTTGGATGAGTCTTGTTACTCAAATGAACAAGAAAACAAGCCGTTTGATTGCGTTGGAAAAGTAAAAACTCAAATGACGTTTTGTAAAATCCACGAAATGAATCACCCCATGGATTGGTAGTTTCATTTATGCCTAGCCTACTAGAATGCTGTGAGATAAAAGTACTACATTTAGTGCTACGATATGAAAGGGAACTAGTATCAAATTGTGCAACTATATAGTAAATCCAAATTAGATTCGCTCTCCTCACCAACTAGGATTGAAAAACATATGATATTCTCCTAGTTGATCTTCTGGTTCTTGTTGTGGGGAGATAACTCAGCCCTACAAATAAGGTAACCAGTTGTTAGTTTCACTCCAATTGAAAGAGCATAGCATTTTTAGGTAGTTTTTATACCTAATTCTTTACTGTCGTAGATTCTGGTATTATGTTTAGTTTCACTTAGTCTTGTTTGTTTCAGGGCAAAAAAGGAGCTATTTTCTCGGAAGTTCATCTCTCACAAAAGCTGATCACTTTGGTAGTCCCTAAATCACAGTACAGCAGTAAGTAGAAGTCTGAAACTTCCCCGTTTTCTTCCCTGTCTTCATGTATGAACAAAAAGAAAGCCAATAAAACAGTACTTGCAGAATCCATAACATTACTTGCCTTAACAGCAAATCTATTTTCCATATCGGATGTTATTTACATTCATTATCCTTAAGTCCTTACGACCTTCATTCCTTAGGAATAGTAAAGCAAGCAAAAGCACTATGACCCAATTGCTCTTTCCCTAATACAAAGGAATCTCTCTCCCATAACCCTCCTCCCTTCCTTTTCTATTTTCTTATTTTCCAACCAGATAGGTTCCAGCAGCTGTGATTGAGACAAAATATCTGAACCTAGGTAATGACTAGATATGCAAGTTGGCAGATTCATACATTATGGCAAGTTGGCAGATTCATACGTTCTTACACCAAAAACTGGTATATGGGCAGATTTTTTACCTGGGCTTCTTGATTGACAGGTTGTGCAGGTTGAGCAAGTCCGAGAGCCGTGACGATTATCTCGTCTTTGGTACCGAGGTTTGCCTTGACTTTGGATGCCTTAACAAGGTTGTGGTTGGCTTCTGGACAATCGTGTCCATTTGCCTTCAGGTAGACGGTTAAGCATTCAGGACACTTCTTGGTCCCAGGCCTTTTTTTGTGTGAAAAGAATGAATGAGATTGATTAATCATCAATGCACCCAGCTAAGAAGCAACAAAGTTTATGCTATCACATACAATCACATAAACTTAATGGAACTCAGAAGGGTAGCGGCAAAAAACAAAAGTTTAATAGAGCCCAATCGATTGCGTAAACTACATTGAAACTCAGAGGGTTATAGGTATAATATGCCCCTTTATTATGACGTTTGATCAAACATGCCCCTCTACTATCTTTTACATCAAACATGCCCCTGTACTTTGTAAAAATAATCAAACATGCCCTTTTGTTTAAATTATCATCCAAAAACCGTTAACCAAGGTTGAACTTTGGTTTGGGCGGCACAAATGTCTAAAATATCACTAATAATTTCACTTTAATTTTTTTTTTCTTTTGTATAGCCAAATAATTCAAATAAATTTACTTTGAAGACACCGAGAGAAATACAACGATAGATAAAACTGACGTTTTCTCTCCCATTTGTTGATGTCGGGTCGTCTAAATCTCGGTTCAACCATGATTGATGATTTTTTCAATGAAAATTTTAACATAAGGGCATGTTTGATAATTTTTTCATAGTACAGGGGCATGTTTGATGTAAAAAATAGTAGAGGGGCATGTTTGATCAAACGTCATAATAGAGGAGCATATTATACCTATAACCCTCTGAGTTTCAATGTAGTTTACGCAATTAATTGGGCTCTATTAAACTTTTGTTTTTTGCCGTTACCCTTCTGAGCTCCATTAAGTTTATGTGATTGTATGTGATAGCATAAACTTTGTTGTTTCTTAGCTGGGTGCATTGATGTTTAATCAATCTCATTCATTCTTTCACACAAAAAAGGCCTGGGACCAAGAAGTGTCATGAATGCTTAACCGTCTACCTGAAGGCAAATGGACACGATTGTCCAGAAGCCAACCACAACCTTGTTAAGGCATCCAAAGTCAAGGCAAACCTCGGTACCAAAGACGAGATAATCGCCACGGCTCTCGGACTTGCTCAACCTGCACCACCTGTCAATCAAGAAGCCCAGGTAAAAAATCTGCCCATATACCAGTTTTTGGTGTAAGAACGTATGAATCTGCCAACTTGCCATAATGTATGAATCTGCCAACTTGCATATCTAGTCATTACCTAGGTTCAGATATTTTGTCTCAATCACAGCTGCTGGAACCTATCTGGTTGGAAAATAAGAAAACAGAAAAGGAAGGGAGGAGGGTTATGGGAGAGAGATTCCTTTGTATTAGGGAAAGAGCAATTGGGTCATAGTGCTTTTGCTTGCTTTACTATTCCTAAGGAATGAAGGTCGTAAGGACTTAAGGATAATGAATGTAAATAACATCCGATATGGAAAATAGATTTGCTGTTAAGGCAAGTAATGTTATGGATTCTGCAAGTACTGTTTTATTGGCTTTCTTTTTGTTCATACATGAAGACAGGGAAGAAAACGGGGAAGTTTCAGACTTCTACTTACTGCTGTACTGTGATTTAGGGACTACCAAAGTGATCAGCTTTTGTGAGAGATGAACTTTCGAGAAAATAGCTCCTTTTTTGCCCTGAAACAAACAAGACTAAGTGAAACTAAACATAATACCAGAATCTACGACAGTAAAGAATTAGGTATAAAAACTATCTAAAAATGCTATGCTCTTTCAATTGGAGTGAAACTAACAGCTGGTTACCTTATTTGTAGGGCTGAGTTATCTCCCCACAACAAGAACCAGAAGATCAACTAAGAGAATATCATATGTTTTTCAATCCTAGTTGGTGAGGAGATCGAATCTAATTTGGATTTACTATGTAGTTGCACAGTTTGATACTAGTTCCCTTTCATATCGTAGCACTAAATATAGTACTTTGATCTCAAATCCTAGTAGGCTAGGCATAAATGAAACTACCAATCCATGGGGTGATTCATTTCGTGCATTTTACAAAACTTCATTTGAGTTTTTACTTTTTCCAACGCAATCAAACGGCTTGTTTTCTTGTTCATTTGAGTAAAGTCATGCACAATATTGTCCAGACCATTCAGCCGGGCTGAGATCGCGAAACCCCACATCATCTAGACCGCCTTGCACACAAAAAGCCCAAACAGAGGCGTAAGACACAGTACAATTCTCCGGCATCGCCACAAGATGACGAAGTGAGCATAATCGGACCTGGAAAAACGTGGAAGACTAGTCTAAATCATCTATCTACAAAGTTAAACACTAGATCTACCAGTAAAAAACTGCTAAATACAACAGATCTACACCAACCAACAGACCTAAGGTATTCACGCATCCGCACACAAACAAGAAATCATCCCTAATGAAAGTCTTAACCATTAAAAGTTCAGATCTTTTATCATCGGAAATAAAGTAAAGGGAGAGACACATACGCTTTTCTGGATCGGACGACTGTATATGAGAGAAACCATTCATCCGAAATTCAATCTTCCCAACACCAACAAGCCGGAAGCCACACCGGAAGGAGAGAGCCACGCTGAACTACCACATATAAAAGAACAGAAGTATCAGAGAGTAGAATATAACAGATGAATCTAAGTTACTTTTCATATTTACAAGCCTAGATCTAGACTTCTATACAACAGATCTATAACAAACATATAGATCAACATGAAAAGATCTATAAAAACAGAGTTTCCGGAATGAAAGTTCGCATCTTTTTCATTAAAAGGAGTGCAAGAATCATACCGCAAATTTAAATCAAGAGGCTGAATACATGTAGCGAACGATATACAACAATTCCCCGCATGATTCCACCAATTCTCCATCAAAGCCAACACATCCAGGACTGCAAAATTGCGGATGCTTAACCCCTATGTTCTCCACTACAAATTCCCCCGCCATTACTAATTCAACCACAGCGAGATCCAGCTCAGCATAACCCTTGTAGCCATAAATCTTACCTGGGTGGACAACGAGTTGGAGTTCACACCGCAATGCATCTACTCCTACTAGCTCGCTTGGGCTTGTATGTACCGTCCATTTTTCATCACCATCCCTCCAAACCATTGCAACATCCTTGCCCTTACTCTTCACTTGTCCATCTTCGTCATCAATCCTACCAAAAACCATCAGCGCCAGTTTGGACTTGCCAGGAGGCACATGAACCACAACAGACCACCAGGTGAAAGAGGTTTCCCATGTCGGTAGTAGGGTTTCATCCATGACGAGGGATACTGTTAGAATATGAATTGAATTTGATTTGGGTTTGTTTTGTGTTTTAGGCCTATTCTGTTTGGGTTTGGGATTGGGCTTTGTTTGACCTTTTTCCTTATATGTTTGGGAAAATGTGTTTGGTTTTCTGTTTGGGATTAGGAGAAGAGTCCTATAAATACTCTTCATCACCCTAGTCTGAAGTAAGGCCAGTCAGGTTAGTTTGTTTGGTTTGTCCGTTTGGAATTTGGTTTGTAACCTGTACTCTCCTCAAATTAGTGAAATTTGTTCTCCTCTGCCCGTGGATTAGCTAGCACACATTGTGTTAGTGAACCACGTTAAATTTGTGTTCGTTCGTGTTGGTTTGGATTATCGATTGCACGCTTCTGTTCTGACAAGTGGTATCAGAGCCGCGGTTGTCAGATCCGTTGGATGAATTGGTTTGAAGTTGCAAGTTATTACGACTAGCAACGTCTGTTTTGCGTCGGAGCATCGGAGCGCTCTGCCGCTATTCTGCGGTTAGGGTTTTCGATCATCTAGATATTTGTTCTAGATTTGAGGATCGAGAAGTCAATTTGGAGTTGCAGGCTTGGAGTTAGCAGTAAATTTGATGTTGGTGTTATGGACAGAAATAACACCAAACTGGTTCTGCATGGCAAGTCCCAACATGGGTTGGACTTGCTGCATGTTTTGATTTGTTGACCGCCCTTTAGGGGCATTTGGAGGCAGGGGAGATTCTGGTACAGCTGATTTGGAGAAGTTTGGTACGTCTGACAATTTTGATTGCATCTGAGTTTGGCGATTTGCATCGCGTTTGGTCTGGCGATATGAATCGCATTTGGATATGTCTGGCAATCTTGATTGCGTTTGAGTTTGGCGGTTTTGATCACATTTGGATACGTCTGGCGATATGTATCGCGTCTGGGTACATCTGGCAACTTTGGTTGCGTCTGGTACATTTGGTATTTGAGAGAGAATTCAAGTCAAGGTGGAGATTGTTAGAATATGACTTGAATTTGATTTGGGTTTGTTTTGTGTTTTAGGCCTATTCTGTTTGGGTTTGGGATTGGGCTTTGTTTGACCTTTTTCCTTATATGTTTGGGAAAAGGTGTTTGGTTTTCTGTTTGGGATTAGGAGAAGAGTCCTATAAATACTCTTCATCACCCTAGTCTGAAGTAAGGCCAGTCAGGTTAGTTTGTTTGGTTTGTCCGTTTGGAATTTGGTTTGTAACCTGTACTCTCCTCAAATTAGTGAAATTTGTTCTCCTCTTCCCGTGGATTAGCTAGCACACAGTGTGTTAGTGAACCACGTTAAATTTGTGTTCGTTCGTGTTGGTTTGGATTATCGATTGCACGCTTCTGTTCTGACAGATACAATAACGAACAAAATCGAGCCTCGGTGTCCACCAACACCAGCACGCCATGATCAAGACGGCTGGAGAACACCATCTTCGAACGTAATCTCAGCGCTAGTTGTGCCATGCTTCTTGAACGTTCGACCGCCATCCCTTTGGCCAAATTGACAAATACCAATTCTCCATTGCCTCGACTACTCATAGCAAGACAAGGTCGGCCGACTGGTGCTTCTACTTGCGGTATTGGACCGAGATCCCTCAGCTGCCATAAGCCCATGCAGTGGCCATGCAGCCCACGTTATCACGTGGCCCACTCAAGAGGGCAATCCTCCATATGTAACCCTAGATGACAATGTAACAGGGGATATAAATATGGCTTGTTCCATCAAGCCGAACTAAGCAATAAAATCACGATCGTTTCCCGTGGGTGTAAGCCTCACACAACGTGAGGAAGAACCACGTAAATCAAAGTATTCTCTTATGTTTCAGTAATCTTTTCATGGTATCAGAGCGGTAAGCTCCAAACCTCTTTCGCTGAGAATCAGTCATGAGCGAAGACGAAGGTCATTCCGTCGTGACGCCATCACCAAACACAAGCGGCAGCAAGGGCGAAGCTGATTTGCCTGAGTTTTATCAGTTGCATAGGTCCGATGGACCTGGAAATATGCTTGTTGGCGACGTGCTAACAGCCTCCAACTACGGGGAGTGGGTGCTCGATATGAAAGACGCCCTTCTCGCAAAGAACAAGTATGGCTTCGTGGATGGGACCATTCCCAAGCCTTCTCAGGAACCGGAACGAGGAGCATGGATCCGATGCGATGCCATGGTCAAAGGCTGGCTCAAGGTCTCGATGGACAAGGAGACCCGGAGCAGCGTTCGTTTTGCTGAAACTGCAAGACAAATCTGGGCGGATTTGCGTGAAAGATTCGGCCAGGAAAGCTCGGCTCGAGCGTACGAACTGCGACGCTTAATTTCCCTTCTTCAACAAGAAAAGGGTTTTGTTTCCTCCTTTTATACTCGGCTGAAATCCCTCTGGGAAGAAGCATCTGCAATATTCCCTCTTTCAAGCTGCACATGTGGGTTGTGTATATGTGGAGTGTCTCAACGTGTTCGTGACCAGCAGGAAAGTACCAGGGTCTTTGACTTTTTGATGGGGCTTGATGAGGTCTTCAGTGGAGTGCGTACACAGGTACTCGCGATGAAGCCGATTCCCAATCTTGGGGAGGCCTTCAACATTATTAAAAACGCTGAGCAGCAAAAGCTAATTGCCCAGAACCAAAAATCACAGCCCGAAGCGGCTGTCTTTTGGCCCACGGAGACCGTGAGAAATCACAGGGCAGAAAGGATCGTGCGCGGAACTCCGAGGATCGAGAGAAGATACGTTGTACCCACTGCCAGAAGTTGGGGCATCTCCGTGAGTTTTGTTACGAGTTAGTGGGGTATCCTCCTCATGACCGCGATCGTCCTAGAGAGAAGCAAGGCGATTGGGCACCACGTCGTGGACCTGCTGGGACGGACGGTGGACGTGAAGGACTCGGTCGAGAGCCAAAAGCCTCCCAAGTAGAGGCCGAACAAAGCCCAGTAGCTGGGTTCACGCTGACGCAACTGCAGCAGCTCAAACAGCTTTTCCAGCTTTCAAACTCTTCCATGGAGGACCCAGTAGCGCATATGGCAGGTACATTCTCTGGCAAACTCAAGCTCCTTATCAAGTAATGCGGATGCATCGTACGGGTTTCTGGACCTGCATTTTAGGCTTTTGGTTGCTTGAGTTTTCGCGACCAGTCCAACTTTTCTCTGCGAGGGAGAGGGAAAGTCGGGGTCATCCAAGCGTGAACCAACGGGAGCTTCGTATCGTACAGATTGTCCGACGTGTACTCCTCTCCAAAGGAGTGAAACCGTCGTGTCGCGAGTGAGTAGAACACATGACGACGACTTTGTTCGTGAAACCTCGGGAAGTGAATAGTGTTTCTCAGTCCTTCGAGGCACGCCTCGTCGCACTTTTTGGCCACGCATCCGGCGGGGCTCAGCAGAATCATATGGTCTTCAAGATCACGAGCAACGTGCCACGCTCGCGCGGGCTCATAAAATTTGAGGATTCTCACGAACTTCCCCACTGGACCGACCACGACAACGACCAGCTCTCCCTTGAACTCCACTAAATAAGCTTCATTCACTATGTTGTCACGAAAGATGTCGGCCGATGATGCATCAAATACCCTCCACGCCTTGTCCTTATTTTTCGCCTAGTGATTGAAAACCCCCAGCCTTCCATCCTGAGACAGACAGTAGAATGCTCCTCTGTGGAAAAGCGGGGAAGAATTGTAATGAGGCCAGAAGAAATTAGCCTTCCTTTGAGACCTGGTCAGATCCATTCGGACGACTTCGGATTTGACTTTGATCTTCTTCACGTTGCCTGCTCTCAACTTCTTGGGACGGTAGCTCTTCAACCTCGCCACGTTGTGGACGTTTCGATCGTGATTCCAAGAACTCTGTCCTCGCTGAATGAAGACGATCCTCGTTCGCTTCTCGGAGTTGATATCCACTTGACCGATAACCACACAGTCAGGGGACGTAGGTGGGGCCGAAAAACTCATCCGGTTGAAGCTACCGCATTTATTTCGGTCGTAATAGGGCAAGTGAATGATGTCTCTCGTGGAGGGATGATAAAAGAAAATGCGGCCCTCTCCGGAGAAAAGCAGCCATCCGTACCAGGAGCATGAAATACATGCATCGGAAACTTCGTCGGGTGCGCGCAGATAATACGTTTTGAAATATGCAGGGGAGTAGGCTCGACAACAGTAGTTCAAGAGAGCGGATGAATCAGTTCCAATAATGGTCTTGGAATAATGCAGCAGGAAAGGATACTTGATATTCTTGTAGACGCCATGGTCTAGTTCAGCGGAATAGTTCCAGTGACGACATGTCAATCTAAAACTGAAATAATCCTCCCACGATAATCTCTCACGAATCAAGCACAAAATCTCGGGCAACATATATGCCCACGGAGGCTTCTCGCTCATCTTCCAACTGCCGATATTTTCCCTCGAGACGATGTCTTCTCCCGTTGCATGGTTATTGGAGTTGGAATTGGTTGGATTATTTATAGGGAAAATAATATGGCCTTGGAGCTAAAACCTTTTAGGCAGAGACAAGGAGAAGAGGCCAGCTCTCCTTTTTTCCTTCTACGTAGTGGAAAGCAAGCAGCCGCTGCTGGTAAATTGTTGCTGCCGTTAAGCGATTACTTATTTATTTTTCCCGTACCACATATCAGTGGCGGACCCAGAAATTTTATATAGGGTGTCCTCGTTTAAAAAATAAATTAAATACAAATAATTTTAAAATAATTAAAAAATAAATAATATTTAAATAAGAAATACCTTACTCATACAGTCATACAGCTTGAAAAAATTCACGATGTGTTTTCATATTAAAAAATGATTGTAGAACACACTTGGGGTCTACACTGTTCAAAAAAAAATTGTCTCTGTATATCATATTAGACAATCATTCACGAACTGATCACATATTCGATTTCTAAACTTGTTCTTGATGTAATCCAAAGCTGAAAAGACTCTTTCAACACTTGTCGTGCAACCATAAATCAATACAAATTAAGGATAGCTTAAAATTTGTTTAATTGTTAGATTTTGAAAATCATTAGAGATAGAGAATGACATTATACTATTACACAGTGTTTAAAATCGAATAACATATGAGTTGTAGCCTAATGGAAATTATGTTTATTAAAATTGTCCTAGGTTTGAATTACCCAAACATTCACTTATATTCTCATACTCAAACTAAAAGATGAGAGTAGGATAATCACTTTTTTAAATTTAGGGGTGTCCCCGACTATCAATTATAACTTTTTTTGTCAATACGTAAATTACCACCGGGGTTGGATAATCGTTATCCCAAAATTTAGGGGTGCCTGTGAACACTCCAAACACCCGTGGGTCCGCCCCTTCCGCCTATGATACTTTGTGTGTTTGTGAAGGGTTGTAAAAACAGAAAAAATGATGACAGAACACGGAACCCGCCAACCCAACAGACGAACTACAAAGCGGGGACGGGGATGGGGAAATTAATCAATACGGAAAACGTCTACACTTCTGGTGAGTTTGTCGTAAGTGAAACTGGCTGGTTCGATCGATGCTGGTCATGAAACCGGCGGAATGCCACCAAATGCCAATAATGCTCTGGTCAATGGCTCAATGCCTATAAAATTCGGAAATTCTGGCTGGGTGGTTCAATCTAGGGGTGTGCAACGGTTCGGTTCTGTTCGGTCTGGATAAAACGCGGCGACTTAAAAACCTCAGCTCAAATCTACATTCGGCCATGCGGGTCACGAGATAGGTTAAGTGGACGGGTTCATCGGGTAAGTGAGGCCGCTGGACGGCTGCACAAATCCATTTGTAGTCTTGTCACCGCAACTCAGGCCTCCACTCTCAAGCAGCCGCCGTGGGTCGATCAAATTCTCCCGCTCCGATCTTCTGCTCTGGTTCTGAGCTGACACTTCGTCGGAGAAATCATGGCTCCGAAGCCGAAAGATAAGGCGAAGCCTTCACCGGCGTCACCGCGGCAGCCGCCGCCTGCGATTGAAGATCTCTTCACCAAACTCAATTCGCACATCGAGGGATCTGTTGATCGGAACAACGAGCAATCAGAGCTAAAAAAGGCCGTTCGAGTCGCTGACCAAGGTCAACACAGTCTTCGCAAATTTTGCAGGCGCCTCTCTCTCGTGTCGCATTCGTGTTCTGATGTTTGGGGCTGTTGTTTGGATTTGCAGTTCTCTCGATTGCGCCTGGAGACGAAGATGCGCTCCGTTGCAAAGTGGTGGCGTTGATTAAGAATGATAGTTACGACGATGCTCTCTCGACAATTCGCTCTGCTAAAGCGTTCAAGTTCGATTTCCGCTTCGAAGAGGTGCGCTTTGATTGAGCCATTTTGTTCCTTCTTTGTTTTGCTTGGAATTTGGGTGATTGCTTCGCTTAGGTGAGGGTTGAACTTCATAATTGAGTCTCTTAATTTGACTGTGGCGTGTCTGTATAGGCATACTGCTTGTACAAACAAAACAAATTGGATGAGGCATTGGAGTTGCTGAAAGGGCAGGAGAGAAATTCGGAGACAATGCTGTTGGAAGCTCAGATTCTGTTTCGTCTTGGCCGCATGGCTGATTGCATTGATGTGTATCAAAAGCTTCGAAAGTCGGAGCTTGATTCCTTAGAGATAAATCTTGCTGCGAGTTTGATTTTAGCTGGGAGGTCTTCCGAAGTGCAAGGCATGCTGGATGCACTGCGGATCAAAGCATCTAGCAGCTACGACTTGGCATTCAATACTGCTTGTTCTTTGATAGAAATGAACAAATATGTAGAAGCCGAACAGCTATTGCAGCAAGCAAGAAGGTGATGCAAGATTTTGTCTTTATGACTGCTGAGACACATATATTACTGTTTCTTAACTTGTAATTCGACGCTGTATTCGTCTCCATGTCCTGGTGATTCACCGGTTTTAGTAGGATGGATGAAGAATTGGGTCTCGATTTAGCTTATGAAGACTAGAAATTACCTGTTTTTATCAGAAGTTCCATTATGCTTTCTTTCTCTCGTCTAGCATGTTTTATGTGCAGGAATGTCAGTTTGGTTCTTTGGTCTAATGAATTATCTATTTTGGAAGATATGCTTTGGTTGAGTTCTGTTTGGCTGCTGAGATGCATATTAGGAAAGTGTTGCTTGCTCTCTGGATATAAGAGCTTGAATGTTCTTACATTACTACTCATAACTCCTGGTTACTGCAATTCCTAGGCTGAATGAACTTTACTTAGGTGTTTTGAACCTAGTTTCCTGAAGACTACAATGACTTGTTGTGATTAATAATTCCTTCATCCTTCTTTTTTTCGTATCATATTTGATCGGGATGACAGTATTGTCATTTGGATTGTTTGGCCTAGGGTTTATCTTGTTGGAAGTCTGATTTGGTGAGTTCTGTCTTGAATCTGGGAGGCCTATGAATCCATTTTTTATTGATGCGCCTTGTCCTGTTTTCCCCCTTTTATTCCCCTAGAATTGGCCAGGAATCGTTGCTGGATGCTAATTGGGCGGAAGAGGACATCGAAATTGAATTAGCTCCTATAGGTGTCCAACTGGCATATGTTCAGCAGGTGAACACCATCTGATTGTACCTTTAGTTCTTACTCTTCTGTTCAAGTCTCATGGTCACTAACCCAACCTGCCTTTTCTTATCAGCTTTTAGGGCGACAAGATGAAGCCATTGAAGCTTACACAGAGATGATCAGCCCAAATCTTGCAGAAGATCTGCCATCACTTGCTGTGGCTGTAAATAACCTAGTTGCTCAAAGAGGGCCGAAAGAGGTGTCTGATAGTCTGAAGAAACTCGATCTCCTGAAGGAACAAGGAGGTGCTGACTACCGGCTTGCTGGTGCTCTCGACAAGCTCTCTCCAAAACAAAAGGAGACCATATATGCAAATAGGGTTCTCTTACTTCTTCATGCAAACAAGATGGATCAGGTCATATTTTCAGATCTTTGCCTTTCCATATTTGTTCTAAACATTAGGGTGGTGTTGCTTTAATGGGTGAAGAAATGGTCTGTTTGGCAATGACTTTTTAGATAAATATGAGTCTATGAAAATTTTATAACCAGATGGCTAATTGGTTGTGGTCCTGTCCTACATGATAACTTGTTGTAAGAAGTTGGATTGAAGAAGTGTGTGCTTGTTTGAACTTTTTGTCCGTAGAACTTCTCACATATTGTGAATAATTGAAATGTCTTTCAGGCACGGGAACTTGTGTCAGCATTGCCAGCTATGTTCGCAGACAGTGAGATGCCGGCAATCCTTCAAGCTTCTGTACTAGTCAGGGAGAAGAAACCTGCCAAAGCCGAAGAAATACTTGATCAGTTCTCCATCAAGTTCCCTCAGAAGTCCAAGGTCGCTCTTCTTGCAAGAGCACAGATTGCTGCCATCTCCAATCACCACCAGATAGCTGCCGACTCCCTCTCTAGAATACCCGACATCCAACACATGCCCGCCACGGTGGCCACCCTTGTGGCACTCAAGGAGCGGGCTGGCGACATCGATGGCGCTTCTTCTGTGCTCGACTCGGCAGTCAAATTTTGGTCAAATGCCATGACCGAGGACACCACCAAGTTGACTATCATAATGCGAGAGGCAGCTTCGTTCAAGGTCAGACACGGGCAGGAAGCAGAAGCTGCCCGGCTGTACGAGGAGTTAATAAAAACACATGGCAGCAGCATTGAGGCTTTGACCGGGCTGGTTAGTACAATTGCCCGTGTGGATGTTGAGAAGGCGGAGAGTTACAGGAAGAAGTTGAAGCCACTGTCAGTTCTCAAGGGGATCGATGTTGAAAGCCTGGAGAAGACATCTGGGGCCAAGCATGTTGAAGGGGCACCGCGTGAGGTCGCAGTGGAAGAAGGGAAGAAGGAGAAGCAGAAGAAGAAAAGGAAGAGAAAGCCAAGGTATCCGAAAGGGTTTGACCCAGCGAATCCGGGACCTCTGCCTGATCCAGAAAGGTGGCTTCCGAAGAGGGAGAGATCGAGTTACAGACCGAAGAGGAAGGATAAGAGAGCTGCCCAAGTTAGAGGCTCTCAGGGTGCTGTAGCTAGAGAAAAGAATGAACCTTCTGCTTCTTCGAATGCTGCTTCTGCTCCTGCCGCTGGCACGAGCTCCAATGCTACGAAAGCCCCAGCGGGGAAAGGTGCGTCCCATTCAAATCACTCATCCAAGTCGTCGAAGAAGAAATCGAGGAGGTGATAGGGTGGATACAATCCTGATTTGGATTTAACCTGGGAGGAGACAATCATAATTTCTGCTGTGATGTTCTTGTAGTTCAATCAGAAATTCTTTTTATTTGTGGTGCTAGAGAATTTTTACCTTTACAATTGATAGTTACAAACGGTTTTGTGAGGATTTCTAGCGGCGAAAAGGAAGGATGCTTTGCTCTCTCTGCTTGGTAATTTTTTTTTTAATAAGAACTCTGCTTGGTAATTTTGAAGCTTACACATGACAGCTTTTGTTTCTGTTGCCTGTATGAAGAAGTTTGGGGCTCAGTTATAAATTTTCCTAGGAGCATGTGATAGCGGGAAGAAAACCCCAATGGAGCCCAAGTTTGGGTTTTAGCTGTTTATAGAGTTGATGAGATAACGAGGTCAGGCCCAAGTGAACAATAATGTTAACACGAGTCATGTCTTGTGTAGGGACGAGATACGGGGGTTGTCAGATTCACAACCCATTTCATAGCCCTTGGATACGCTCTCTCTCTTGTCTCTTTCTTCTTTTTTTAAATTAACGGTTAAAATTAAATGAAGGATATTTTGGGAAGGGTAAAAATTTACCACACCCAATCATTAACCCTACCATATAAAAAGAACAAAAACCCTAACTCCTTCATCCTCCCTCTCTCTCTCCTCCCTCTCTCCCGTAAACATCACCGTCCGCCGACACCCTCCCCTTCTTCCCTCCCTCCACCTTCACCGCCGGCCAAGCTCCCTTTCTCCTCCTCCCCCGGCACCCCACCCACCACCAATCCCTCAATCCCCTTCCTCAAAGCCCTCCCCTTCCTCCTCCCACCGGCACCCCTTCCTCAAAGCCCCTTCCTCCTCCCACCACCAACCACCACATCTCCTCATTGATCCTCCCTCAATCCCCTTCCTCAAAGCCCTCCCCTTCCTCCTCCCACCGCCACCCCTGCCTCCCTCCTGCCTCCATCTTTCCTCATCCCTATTTTTTTCCAGATCTGATTTTTTGTTTTAGTCTCTACTACTAGCGCTATTGGTACGCTACCACTACTCACTGGTACCAATACCAGTGGCTCCCCTATCATCTGGTACCACTACCATCTGTTTTTTTTTTGTGTTATTCACTATTGGTACCGCTAGTACCACTACCAGTGCTAGTAGCGTTGTGTTATTCTCTACTGGTACCGCTACCAATATGGTAGTGGTAGCGTACCAATATGGTAGTGGTAGCGTACCACTAGTACTGGTACATTTTTTACTGGTACCGCTAGTACTGATACATTTTTTAACGTACTGGTAGCGTACCACTAACACTGGTATATTAATTACCAGTAGACTAAATAGATTGGTACACTTTTTAACGCACTGGTACATTTTTTCAGGTTGCCGGAGGGAGTCTGTCGGAGAGAATTCGCCGGAGAAAAAGTTTGTCGGTCGATGCGGAGTGGCCGCTGGAGAAAAGGAAGAGAGAGAGAGATAGATAGAGATATTAATGTATAGGATTTAAATTTCAAAAAAATTGTATTTAATATGGGTTTTTAATTCCCAATATAATTAATACAAAAGAGGTAATTAATATATTCCTTTTTGCATACCCAAAATACCCTAGGTTGTTCACCGTATCCCGTCCCGCTTGTGTACAGGCCAAGATCGTCACATGAATAAGTGTTCTCAACTTTGAACTTCATTAAAATTTAATTTAATGTTTCACATGAATAAGTAATCTCAACATTGAACTTCATTCAAATTTAATGTTTCAGATTTATCAAGTTTAATGAAGGATAAAATGATAATTATATAATTTATTTATTTATCAATTAAAATAAAATAAATAACACCAGAGAGAGGGGAGAGAGATATTTTCATCACCAGCAAATTTTCCGACGGAGATGGGAGATTTTCCGGCCAGAGCGTCTGTTTTGTTTTGTTTTGTTTATCAGACGATTTTGTAATGTTTGTAAGTATGTTTTGTGATTTTGTATCAATTCGGTTTGTATCGTTTATCATTTTTATTTATTTATTATGTTTGTAATGTTTATATGACAAATTTGTATACATTTTAATTTGTAATGTTTGTTTGTCTAGTTTATATACCTTATGTTATGATTTGTATACTTTGTATTCATTGATTTGTAATACAACTTTACTGTTTTGTATTGTAAGTAGTGACATTTTGTACTGTTAGTATGCTTTGTATTGTTTGTATAGTTCGTATGTTTCGTATTGTTTGTATGTTTTGTTGCTCTAGTTTGTATTGTTCGTATGTTTGTATGGTTTGTAATGATTGTAAACCTGGTTTGTATACTTCGTAATTTTTCATAATACCCAAACTACCCCTATCATTAATTAAATAGCACTTTCCACTTTTTAACCGTCAGATTGCTGTGTGCCTGTGTTCAAATCTAAGACCTGGGAGGTGTTTAATCAATTGACTAAGCACTCCTTAGTCACAATATCCGGACTCCTTGTGTACGCCCAAATGCATACAGCCAGTAGCCCAGTACCGTACTAGAGAATTTAAAAAAAAAAAAAAAAACATAGTTACTAGAAGGTTTCCTATTTGGAAGCGATGGCAGGCTTTGGATGGTTAGTGATTAGTGGTTACAGTTGTGTGGGCGTATTCAATTTCAAACCGTTGAATAGCATCGATTCTATGTCGGGGTCTGCTGTTTTTTTTGGAACGGCTACGGTGCTAATTGTACAATAATTAGTACCGTTCTAACCAAAGAAAAAATTACTACTAGTTTGAATTAGTAGTAATTTAGCTTAGATGTTGTATTGATTTTATAATAATCCGTAGTAATTTCGTTATTTTTAGTAGTGTTTTTTGCTAGTTATCACGGTGCTAATCCCTATAAGGGTTAGCACCTAATCCCATCCCTTTTTGTTTACATAAATAAGTGACATTGCTTGCTAAGTTAAGGTCATATAAACAAAATAATGGTTCAAACTTGGAGAGTAAGTTATACCAGCGCGTGGTAGCGATGTTGGCTACAACGAGCTTGACAAAAAAAAAAAAAGGTTACTTCTATTCGAATTCTTTATAAATCTCTTTTTACGATCGCGTTTTATTTTACTTTAACTAATAATAAATCACTATATCAAATTGAAGATTGAAATGACAGATAATGACTGGTGGTATAATACTAAAGAGAAGCACGGAGTTCGTAGAACGAACTCCAGTTCCACCAAGGAGAGACTAAGTGAAATTATTTGAGCTTTGATATGGTGGTGGTGAAAAGGTGAGATTGTTAATTATCCTCGCCGAAGAAAGTTGCGAAATAGGAACGAAAGACACTTTTTATTTTATTAGTAAAGAAATTATCATAAGCATAAGTTGAAATGAGTCAATGAGGGAAGTCTCGGGAGACAGAAGGAGCCAAGATACCAGTGTTGTTGGAAGGGGCGAGAATTGGAAACAAAACGATGATGTAAAAGTGTTTTTACCGGTGAGAAACATTTAGATGAACAAAATTGAATTTGTATTTTTGACTTGCAAACAAACGATTGACAACACAATTCACACTTTTTTTAACAAAGTTCAAATAATGGTGTTCGATGTTTTTGATGATCTACAAGACAAACTAAATTACATTATATCTACTTCTATGGAGGTTCAGCGAGAGCTCCAAAACTACAACTATGACTAAATTTGCAAAGGAAAAGATAGAAGGATAAAATTTGACATTGTGTTGTCTGGTGTGATTTTGGCGAACCTCTTCTCTGTCATCTTCACCTCCTATTTATAGCCACCAAAAGTAACTGCCTCAAGAAACTGTTCTGCTAACGTGGAGTGACGGTTACCCTCTCAATTGCTATGACGGTTATCCTGACGTTGGAGGTGCCACCTTCTTCAGTCTTGACCCCCTCCTCTTGAGACCTCACTCCCTGCTCTTAGTATCTCCTCCATAGCTTCGCTTGTCAATAGAGAAAAAATGTCTAAGGCATGAAGGCAGACCACGTGCCACATATGGGTGGGTACTCAAATCACATGAATCAAACATGGCAAAAATACTTCACCATTTACGAGAGCCTCATACTCCTGACCACACCATGGAGGTGGTATCTTGTGTGACCCCCATGACAACATCATGGGGGCATATGTTGATACCCACCCTTGGTCATACCATGAGGGCATCATCATTCTCCATACTCATATTTCACTCCATGGTATTTCCACTGGGGGTGGCATGTTGAACATCCCCACCACGTCATGAGGGTGACGGTACTTTGATACCGCCCTCACCATATCATGGGGGTGCCGATATGATGTCCACCCCCTTACCACGTCTCAGGGGTCGCGGTATGGTACCCACCCCCTTACCACGTCCTGGGGGTGGTATGATGGTGGCCACCCCCTTGGCACGCCCTGGGGGTGGTGATATGATGGTCACCCCCCCTCGACACATCATGGGGATGGCGGTATGATGCCCACCCCCTTACCACGTCTTGGGGGTGGACGTATCGTGGCCACCTCCCTTACCACGTCCCGGGGGTGGCAGTATGATGGTCCCCCCCCCCCCCCCCCCCGGTACATCATGGGGGTGGTAATATGGTACTCAGCCCCTTACCACGTAATGGGGTGGCAAATGGCAATATGTGGCCACCCCCTTGACACATCATGGGGTGGCTCCAACACTTAGCCAAATTTGGGGACGTATGACACGCGTGGTGACAAAGAGTAATGGGCCCAAAAATCCAATCCACGTGACCCACTCAACTGATTTAAACTGTTATAATCAAGTTGGCTTTATAAAGCGTTTTAATTCCTTGTTTTTAACCGATGTAGTACAAGTTTAATTTTTGGTGTAAACAAATGCCCCCCAACTACTTAGTGCATAAGAATTATGGACTAAGTAGTTAACACCAAGTAAACCTTTCAACCAAAAATGAAAGAAATAGCAACATGACATTCCCCTTGTTTTGTTTCCATCCATAGCTCCCATTTATTTATTCAAGTTCCCTCCTTCCTTCAACAGTTTACAGCTAGAAAGCAAAACAACTTTTCAAATGATTTTTCTTTATATAATAACATTGATAATCAGGGATAAATCATTTCCATGTTTGGCAATGACACTTAGTCTCCTTCTCATTGTTGGACTCTTTTTCCCCATAGTCCTTCCTTCAATCCAAACTATGCCACCCCCCCCCCCCCCATTCCACTATTACCACCAAGACCCATGGTTATTTTGTATTCCACGTGGCATGGTACTCTATTGAAACTATTGGGACAAAACAATATCATGCCCCCTAGTTAAACTTAACTATTACCAATCATACCCCATGCCACCAACCATCACCTCCTCCCATGTCTTGTCATGGAGGTGTGTTTCACTCATTACAAAGATTATAAGATTTGGCATGGTTAGGCCACCGTAATGGCCGAGCAACATGAGTAGTGATTGAGGCTTACCAATCTTGGCAAGATCCTCATATCGAAACCTATCAACTCTTACTCAAACTTGCTAATTCGATATTTATATATAACCATCATTGGCTTTTCTATATTAATTATTGTATTTTTTATACTTATTACATATATTAAGTAGCTACAAGCATCATTGATCTCCATACCCTTTGGCAATAACCAACGTGCCAAATGTATACACTCACTGCCAAGTCCATAGATTAAACCAAACAAGCCAACCATACATCATATGGCCATGGTTTTCAAAGGAGATGATTCTTCACATGTTGACTTTACATCATCCCATTCATCATCTTTCTTACCCCTGTCACACTTGGGGTTGAGATGTTCATCTTTGAACATGTTTTCGGTGACACACTCACCATTGTCGTCACCATAACCATCTCTTTCTTCGTGTGATCTATCATCCAACCCCTTGTGGCCCTTAATATCACTTTGGACTTAGACATAATTGCCCTTGTCGGTCACTATTACTTTGAGACTCGTGGCCATAGAGTTGGCCACCTTGATACTATCTTGAACATCATCATTTTGTTGTGATGGTTCGACCAACCCACCAGGTGCTACTTAATATTCTTTCCGACTCTCTTTGGCATTCTTACGTAGGAATCTCCTCCTTTGATTCCTCGTCATCCCCCCAATAGCTACTGGTTGTTGACGATGCACGTCATAAATATGCCACCCACCTTGTGGCACATTAGGTAACTTGAAAGTCCTTCTCATGGGAAGAGGGCCATGTGCTACCCATTGCCTTCTTTTCCCTCAAACCGGTTGAATGACCCCCTCCACTTGTCTTTGAGAAGGTGGGTATCTCGACCTATGGGGTGGACCAAGTCTTTGTCGGACTGGTCGACTTGGTCTCACTTCATCAAGTGTAAGACTCCTTTTGCATTAGGCATATAGCTTCTCCACCTCATTTGACACCTTAGACGCGGCCGAGTTGGCTTGTGTACCCCTCGATGACTCCCCTTGCTCGAACACAACATTGGGGGTCCCTTGTTGCGGTGTTGTATCTAACACCAGCTTGAAACGGGGAAGTTCAATTTTGGAGAAGTATGGGTTAACCATGTTGACACCAATCACGTTGGGAAACGGGTTGGTATCCACCAGCATAGCATCTTTTTTGGGCTCATGGAACTTGATTCGACCCTTCTCGATGGCATCCTGCAATTCATTGCGAAAAACCACACATGAGTCAGTACAGTGTGACATGCTATTATGTCACTTACAATATTCATTTCCTTTTAACTTCTCAGGGGTTGGGATGTTATGCCCCCCTGTCAGCTTTATTTGACCATCTTTGTAGAGTTGGTCAAAAATTAAGTCATCTTTGGAGATATCGAAGGGATACTTTCGTGGCTGGAT